TCCTCCCTCTAGCCTTCAGTTACTAAGCATTATTATTATCTTTTTAGTGCCGAGAAGTTATTTGTATTTAATAAATACCTCGTCTTCCAATGCATTTTACATCTATTGTTTATACTGTTTTATTTTTCCACTGTCTAGATTCTCCCACAGTTCTTGTATCCTCTTTCTCCCTCTTCCTGCAGCAATTTCAGTAACTGGATGTAACACTACTCATGTATCAGTGTGTAACTTGAAAAACTTTATGATAATCATACAAATAGTATTTGACATTCCAGTATTCTACATCACAGTAAGGTTCATCAAGTTCTACAACTTCCATGTTGGTGACATAGTTCATAGGGTGCTAGTGAACCACAGAGTGTGACTTGCAAAAGTACAATGCAAATGCATTTCACACTGTGAGGTAGCAGCCAAAAGATCAATGTAAGAACGATTCATTGTGGTCTGGGAAGAAGAAATTCAAATGGAAACACCTGGGAAGCCTGCTGAAATTCTTTTTCAAAGTCAGTGCTTTGCTCCAGTTAATGGATGGCTACCAAAGGTCAAGAACAAAGATTGGACTTGCAGGTATTTTTATTAACTATGAAAGTAATTGGGATTACCTGAAATGAATGCTATTTAGCTGCTGTTACTGCTGAGAGACAGTAGTCTCTTACTTATGTTATATGAAAAGCATTTTTCATTCTTTTTACATTCCTTTGTATTTTCTCCATTTTGTGAAATATCTACAGACCTTCCTTTTTTTCCAGTTAGACACATCTGTTTCTAAAGCAACAGCTGTGCGTATGTGAAGGTAGAGCTGTTTCAAGTCTGTCCTGTTTTGTTTTCAGAACTTCATGTCAGGACAAATAATATGCTATGTTGTCAAGCTGCTTTATATAGCAGAAGATTTACTGTTATAAGATATGATTATCATGTACTTTGATATGTAGTTTTCTTTTTGGTTGGAGTTATGTGTGAACATACTATAATTATTCATTTTTAGATAGCAGATTCTCCTTCAGCTGATATAGATACTATCCTTTAACATTTTTACTTGTGGGGCCCAAACAATTTTAAGCTTAGGGCTTTTTAGTTTTATTTTTAATTTCTTGTCTAAAATAGTGGAGTGATTCTGAGAAGGAAACAAATGTAGAGTATATGTGCCTTAAGTAAAACATGTAATTAAAAGAATATTTTTTGTTTCTTGAAGTAATTCAGGTTTGTGTGGATTTGTCAGAAGTGGTATATAAATCAACTGAAACTGGCGCTAAAGTTTACTACATGTTAATTTTAAGCATTTTCAAATTTAGAGTCAGGAATTATTCAGGTCAGTGTAGTTTCTGATATGTCAAAATGTAAGATAAGGGAATTTTATTTATGTTTGCAATTATGATGATATGAACCCTGTTATGTTGTAGGATGCTCTGTTTGAAACAAAGATTCTGCTAAGAGTTGTTTGAAATTTTTTTGGTGCAGCATTTTTCAAATCTATTTGTAGACATTGAGACGCTCTTCATGAAAATCTCGGTTTTGACAGGAAAAAGTGCAAGTGGAGTATTTTGAAAGGTTGACATTCTTGGACTACAGGTTTTCATGTTTGCATTCCAAAACAGTGTTACAAATAGCAATTGTTATGAAGAGTAATGTCACCACATGTATAAAACTGTGTGTTACTCTACTTACCAAGAGGGTTATTGAAAAGAATATTCACCTGAATTGGAGCATATATCAGTCAGCTATACTGGCTTGTGTAACAAGGTTTTGGTAACAAGGAAGGGGTGACAGGGCTACAGAGGTGGCCCCTGTAAGAAGCTGCCAGAAGCTTCCCCCATGTCTGACAATGAGCCAGTGCCAGATGGCTGGCCAAAGCCAAGCCCATCAACAGTGATGGAAGCACCTCTGGGATAAAGTATTTAAGAAGAGGAAAAAAAAACACTGCAAGAGCAGCCAAAGAGAGGAAACAATTTTGCAGACACCCCGGTCAGTGAGAAAGGAGGGGGAGGAGATGTTGCAGGCACCAGACTAGAGATTCCCCTGCAACCCGTGGTGCAGACCATGGTTAAGACAGGTTGTAACCCTGCAGACTGCGGAGGTCCATGGTGGAGCAGAGAAGCACCTGCAGCCCACAGACAACCTCACGCTGAAGCAGGTGAATGTCCGAAGGAGGCTGTGACTCTGTGGGAAATTCCTGACAGGAACTGTGGGCCCAAGTGGAGAGGAGCCCATGCTGGAGCAGGTTTGCTGGCAGGACTTGTGAACCTGCAGGTGACCTGTGGTGGAGCGGCTTGTTCCTGACAGACTGCACTCCATGGAAGGGACCCACGCTGGAGCAGTTTCATGAAGAACAGCAGACCGAGGGAAGAATCCACACTGGAGAAGTTCATGGACAACTGTCTCCTCTGGGAGGGACCCCATGTTTCTGAAGGACCTTCCTGTTTAAGATGAGCAGTCAGTCAATAATTAGAATCTAGAAGAAATAAGCACTTCTGTGAAACAACTAGCTTGGCCCAAAGCTATGGGAATGGAAGTGGAGAGTTTTTGAGCCATTTTTGATTCAGCCTTTTTCAAGGGCCATTAAATGGAACATTTTTGCAAAGACTGTCTCTCCTTTGTGGCTCAGCTGGAGGTCAGGACCACATGGCAATCTGATACATATTGAGGTCAAGCTAGGATAGGAGATAGATAGATTGCTCAACCTTAATTTGACAGAAGGCTCTCAACTCTAAGTGACATAAGCTTGAAACAGGTACCTCAGCTTGTAGTAAGAAAATAGCTACTTGTGTTTTTTCTGTGTATCAATGACCTGTCCAGATATATGTCATCTGTCCTCTTCTGTGGATCCTGTCTCCATTACCCTGTTGTTGTTGTCTCTGTTGTGTCCCCTCTACCTGCCTCCATTACTATTTTCTTCACGTATTCCTTTTAAGAATTCTTTTTTCAAAGTTATTCCATAAGCCAGTTTGACATTTTAGAACAGTGACCCTGCCTTTGAGACACTTAAGTGTGGAAAAAATTGCTATAAAAATACAAACCAACATGTTCAAATCTCAGGAACCATAGCAGTGGAACCTGAAAGGGTATTACTACTCTCTAAATAGAAAGGCAATTGATCTTCTCAGCCTTAAGACACCAAATTCAAAGCAACTTTTAACTCTTTGGTTTCTTAGCTCAGCTGTATTTGAATGCATAGTTTTCACCATACAGATTAAAATTGCTTCATTGTTTACATGTTCATATTTAAGTTGCTAAGGAAACAGACCAACCTTCCATGCTACTCTATAAAAGGAACATGCACTTAACAGTAGGATCTTAGTAAAGTCTGGTTGCAATTGGAACAAACACCCCTGGGCATTCATATCCTGCTTCTGGGGAGTCTGCTAAAGTTGACCAGAAAAAGCCTTTGTAAGTTTCAAATGATTGTAAAAGGATTTATACCTTCATTAGGAAGGAAAAAAAACAGTGAAAACCTTAGTTTTTAATTATTTTGAATGGAGAGGGAAGTATGGCAAATCTATAACAAGCATCCAACAATATTTTTAAAAATCTGTATTGCATCCAGATGCTGTAATTCAATTTAATGCCATCAATATAACATTAATCAAAATGAGGTACATGAGAACAGTAGGAAGAAAATGGGAGAGAAACCTTTCAGATCTGACTTCAGAGCTCTTCCTAGCTTAGTTTATATCTCTGGTGAACAGTTTCTTGTGGCTCTATTTATAGCTGCAGTTTCGGCTGAGCTGCTTTTTATAAATGGGCTTGCTATCTCTTTGTGTTTGGACTAAACTACAGAAAAAGTACTTGCACAGTGCCAGAGAGGTCTCTGCGTAGGAAGCTGATGTAAGGCAGCTGTTGGATTTTCAATTCTACTGCTCGCTTACACTGCTCTAATTTGGCTCGTGCTACAGAAAGAAGAGGATCTTAATTGGTAGAGGGACATTATTAGATAAGCAGATGGAAATTGTCACAAATGTTTAAAAAAAAACCCACAGAAGTCTGCAGATTATAAATGCCTCCACTCTGCACTTGCAAAGAAGCAGTAGTCTGTCTTATTTGGTGGATTAGTGATGGGAGAGTAGCAGCTACATAGTAGGAATGAGACTTTTGCAGGCCTGAATTATTGCCCAGCTCCAAGATGACTGAAACAATCAGTTGTGAAGAATTCTGGTACTCTGAATGTTGGGGGTTTTAAAACAAATTTTGAATGTTCAGTAAAATTCAAGATGCCTGGAAGAATGCTCTTGTGAAAGTCCTAACCAAAAGATAGTGGTAGCAAAAATAATTGTAATGCTGTACCTACAGCACAATAGTTCTACAAGTGTGGTTGCAGAAAACAAAGATAAACCAAATCAAGCCCCTCACAGATCCCTAAAAGGCACAGTAAGAAGCAGCATAGGCATAGTTACATGTATGTTTTAAACCAGGGTATCTGTGGGGTGAACCCAGGTGCTGATAGGGCAGAGAGGTTTTACAGTCAGTGTGAAATTTGCACACAGGAGATGTTTACTTTCAGTGCTCCCAGCACAAGTGTGTGAGTTTTCCAACTGCATTGCCTGAAATGGCTGAGCATCCCGTTAAAACCTGTGCCCAAGTGGGTGAGGAGCTGCTGGGCAAAGAGACCAAGCTCCTCAAGACTCGGCATCCTCATTCTGGTGGAAATTCCATGCTGCGATGTGCTTTTATTGAACAAAATTTATTTTATTCAGCAAAAAAGCTAGTACCTTTCAGCCAAACTTTGCTCTAACCACCTTCCCTAGCTTCCAAAGACACAAGGGACCGGGGAGCTGGCCTGAGAGCGGGTGATGCTGGAGCCGCTGCTCAAAACTGGGACCAAAACCCCACGCCCGAGTGTCCGGGAATCCACATTTCAGCCTTAATTAACACCGCTCTTTGGAACGTCCAGAGCCCCGGAGCCCAGCCGCGACCGGGGCCCTGTTCCTGCCAGCCTCCCAGGCTGCGGGCCGGGCCGGGGCCGTGCCCCGCGGAGCGTTGCCGGGTGACGGCGGCCGCCCCGCAACATGGCCGGCCCCGGCCCGTGGCCGCCGGGCTCGGGAGGGTCGCGGTGGGCAGAGGAGGCTCTGGGTATCGCGGCGGCAAGGAGGCGGCCTGCCCTCGCTGCCTTCTCCGCCTTCAGCTTCATCCCGCCCAGACGGGAAGGGCCCCCAGAGCTCAGCTATTTCAACCGGGCGCCCAAGGTGAGGGGGGGAACGGAGGGAGGCGGGACAGCCGGGGAGCCTCACAGGGGAGCCTCCCAGGGCCGGAGGGACAAGGCTTCCCCGTGGATGTCTGCGCAGTATAGAGACCTTATTCTCGGCCCCTCTGCAAGGGCTCGGCTGTCATCATGAGGGACCTGGTCAGGCAGGTGCCTAAAATCATCACAGAATCACAGAATAGTTTGGGTTGGAAGGGACTTTAAAGATCATCTAGTTCCAACTCCCTTGCCGTGGGCAGGGACTGGACCAGGTTGCTCAGAGCTCCTTGGCCTTGAACCCTTCCAGGGACAGGGCATCCACCACTTCTCTCCGCCACCCGTGCCAGTGCTTCACCGCCCTCACAGTGAAAAATGTCTTCCTAATGTAGAAATGCTGCACATTAGTCTTGAGCTAGCCTAATGCCAAAATAGCAGGTTTCACCTTCAGAGGCATTTGCGAAATGTGTTTGCTACTTGTGGATGGCCAAGCAGGGTAAGGTCTTTCACTGGTCAGTAAGAGAAAGCAGACATAGTTCATCAAGGATTGAGGACTGACAGGTCACGTGGCATCAGTGAAATGTGAGGCATCTTTAGGGGGAACAATAAGAAAGGTATCGTCTGTTGCTGGGGTTGGATTGCAGCACCTGTGGTTTTTCTGGTACCACACACTTCTGGGGACTTCTTTAACAAGAAACTTCTCCGTTTCCAGTTGAGGCAAAAGGTTTTCAATGTGCATTGCACAATTTTTCCATATGCTCAGCTTTAATAATGAAAATCAATAGAGCTACCCAAAACAATGTCATTATATGCCTGGATAACCAAGTGCTTCTGGTGTTACACTGACACTTAACATGTACAAGGCAAGGAAGCTCACTCTTTAGTCTCTGCTGCCTTATATCACCCTTGTTCCTCATTCTCTCAGTCCTCATGTTTAACATCAGAAATGAAAAAAATCTTACACCTTCAGCCTCAGCTGAGCTATACTTCCTGGGTGGCAAATTCTTCCCTCTCTGAAGTGTCATATGAGACATTGAATTTAACACCCTTTTCCTCAAAAAAAAATTATCCTTAAAAAGTTCTGAAGTGTCTATGATATCAACATAATATAGCAATATTATGGCAACATATAATTATTTATGACAATAAATGTACCCATATATTTATCCCAGTCCAGCCCAAGTGACAGGCTGATCAATGTGCCAATCACTGGGCAGCACTGACTGGTGATTTTTGAGTTTGCAGCTTGTGTGTCCCTGGGATGTGGACAAGGTGCAGACCGAATCAGAGTGCTGGGCATTAAAGGAATTAGGACAAGAGGGCATGATCTTAAGCTTTTCCAGGGGAAGTTTAGGCTGGGTATTAGGAAGAAATTTTTTACAGAGAGAGTAATCAGACATTGGAATGAGCTGTCCAGGGAGGTGATGGATTAACCGTCCCTGGAGGTTTTTAAGATGAGAACGGATGTGGCACTGAGTGCCATGATCTAGTAACCATGGCGGTGCTGGATCAAAGGTTGGACTTGATGATCTCAGAGATCTTTTCCAGCCCGGTTGATTTTGTGATTCTATTCTATTCTTAAGACGAACAGCAAATTTCCTGCATTGAGCGGATGGCACTGCTAAGAGACAATTAGATTTGTAATGTCAGACTCTTTCGTGCTGATTCCAGCATCACCTTGGGAAGGTGCTGTGAGCCAAAGATGAGCAAGCACAGTTGGTGCCATTCTTAACAAAATGTGATAGGGAGAGCACAACAAGAGTAAGGCTAGGGCAGGTCAAAGGTGCACTTGGGGCTGGTGGAGCTCACAGTCTACTCAGTCTGCACAGAATTAGCAACCATGTAGTATAGCTTTTGCTTACAGTATAGTCTGCTTTCACACTCACGATGATTTGATTTGTGGAAAATGCTGCTCCAGTGGCATGGAAACCAAACAGGATAACAGCTGTTTAATAGGTTTCTTCACAGCTCAGGCCTTGGCCACAGGGGAACAAGCAGATTCAACCCATTCTTCTGCACAATTAAGGAATTAAATAATTTTTTTTATTTATATAGCAAAAAAAATTTCCTTTTTTCAGTTTAAATACCTAAACCCAACTGTGTATCAGAGACTGAAGCAGAGAGAAATAGGAAGATGTGCTCATCATGTGACCAGAAGCCAGAAATTCCTGCCTTTTAATCCCTTGTCTGACAGTTGCTCCCTCCATTGCTTTACATTTTACTGTAGCCAGTTTGCCTGATATTTTCTCTTCTGAGCTGTGGAGAAAGCTATTACTTATTTTATCTATGTCTGGAATATTACTGAATGCTTGCAAAGCACTTACCTTCAGTAGCAGTACACAGAGGATGCCCACCCTGAGCACATATTTATCGTCTGCTCTGCATGACTCACTTGCTCAGAAGGGTTTAAGAAACAGCTCAATACCACCACCACCACCCAGGCCAACTAAGGTATCATTTAACAACAAAGAGAAATAGCAGCAGGAAGTTATCAGTGTATTGAGAACAGAACTGTTGCCTCTACACATTTGGCAGAAAATCTTAAACAGATCATCTGGGAGAGAGCTGGTTTTTGACATAACAGGCTGGATGCCTATCTGTGAGTTCTGGAAAGAATGAGTTTTCTGCTCTGGTGTGAGTAACAAATAACAGACAAATAATGCCACGTGAATAAAATCAAAGAGCAAATAACACTCTTGGTGGTGGGCGCAAATTAGACGCCAACTGAAATTCTGAATGAAACATGGGGAATAAAGGAGAAGTAAGGAAACCAAAAATAATAATAATCATGAAGGTGACACATCAGGTGCAGGATGCTCTTGAACATCACTGAAAACCTCTGAGGCTCGATGGTTTCTGGGAAATGAAGGGTTAAATACCAAACAATCCGTCCTGTTGGCAGAACCAAGTAATGGAGGTATCTTTACAAATTAAGCCTGTAATTACAGCAGTGTCTTACTAGTGCTCTTAACTATGGTTTTCTTTTAATGGAACAATTATAGTCTTCTTGACTTGCCCTAACTTGACTCTTTTTGAAGGATTGCACTGTAAATTGTAGGACTCAAAATACATGAATTTTTCAAAGGTTAAATTGGACACACTATATTAGAGGGGGGGAAAAGCCCAACAAAATGCATCATTTTTTTTAGTCAGCTATGCACAAAGACAGTGATGGATTGGTATTTAACTGAATATGGACCTTTAAATGAAGCTCATTTACATATGACAGCATATTTCAGTAGGAGATTTTGCTTTTTCCTTGAAAACTCTTTTTGATTTTGAAATTCCTGTGATTCTATTCATGACAACTTCTTGATTGAATTTCACAAATGCCTTTGTTAGCAGATCAGATCTTTAATGTTGGTTATTTGGTACACCTATATCAACAGTTATACGATTATATTCTGGCTTGGAGTGTGCTATATTTTCATGTATGACATATCTGTGTCATGCATACCACTGGATCACAGATTTACCACTATGGCATGTTTCAGAACTGTTCTCAATTCTGCTTTAATCAGAAATTAAATGATGATTAGGCTGCAGGATACCTTTGTCTTTTTCATTCCAAATAAATTTAGAAACTGCCTGTTTTGCTTTTACATAATTGTGCCAGTTCATTTAACAAATATATAAACTTAAGAAGAAGAGTAATAAGTTCAGAAAATAAAAGCAAATAAAGCAGTTAAATTTCCAAAAGTTACAACAGGCTGTGGCAGGGGTGGGCAAGGGACAGGGGGGCAAGGGGGATGTGGAAATTGAGGTAAATTGCCACAAGGGAAATTTCAGAGATGACCAGACTTAAAAAAAGGTATCATGTGTCATTAGATAATTTTGCAAACTATTACAAAGGAATGGCCCAGACTTGCTAATAAGCTCAGTAATATAACTGTTGTCATCATCTAATACAATATGTGCACCATTTAAGTATTGATTTGACTACATATATTCTGTAATCTGTAAAGTTAAGCAATGCTGTGAATTAGCCATTTTTTCCCCTTTTCTCAAGGCAGAACATGTTTTCACCTATGACACCATTTTTAGAATACCAGAAGGTTACAACAAGTATCTTTCCCGCTGTGACAGAAAACACGCAAAAGGTCATGGTCTCAACATTAATGAGGAGGTAATCCTTTGATAAATCCGTAATTATCTTTGTTAAAGTTGATTTTTTTTTTTTTTAACGTGGCTGGAGGCTATAGGCATTGTTTTACCCTCTGTAGTGCAGCCTATATGGTAAGAAAGGAATTGGAAGGAGGACATCATTGTGCTCAGCCTGGAGGTTTAGAAGAAAACATTAGCCCATGAAGACACTTAGCTCTTTGCTCTTTATTTAGCTCTTGCTCTTCCTGAAGATTTCCAGGTGACAAGACATATGCAAGTTAAAGCATGGGGAAAGAGGCAAATCCTCTGTTACAGAGTTCAGGGAGAATTCTGAATGTCTGTGCCTCTCAAAAGTTGTAGTTGAAGTGCTCCTGCAGCTATTCCTGTGATGCTTGAAAACTTTTCTCTCCATGAGGACTGCATTCAGAGACCCTGATTTCACTGCTGTCCTCTGACACCCATCCTCACTACACCAGCATTTGCTGCGAGAGTCCAAGCTTCTGAAGCTGGTGAGTTTGTTATGGAAACTTACACCAGACTGCCCTGCAGGAAGGAAATTCATAGGGAGCTAGTGCAAAGGAGTGGTCAATCAGAACACCGTGGACATGCTTGGAAAAGGATGGGCGAAGTATTCAAGGCCAGCGGAATCTTGGTTTGATGTGCAGCCCAATAGCTAAATACAGCCATGGTTTTACACAGCTGCCTGTAAAACAGAAATACTATAATATATATACATAAATATATACATAGGTATTTTTCCATGTAGTGTCTGAATAATGCCCTTACATACACAAGTGTTCATATATATAATTATATTTATATACACACAAATACACGCGCACACAGAGAGAGAGGCTGTCAAAAACCAGATGAAGTGTAGCCTCTGTGTGCTGTTGGCCTCATAATCCCAGCGGGCTCATGGGATGTGAAGTGATGTTGTGTAATAAAATTGTTGTTACTTTGTGACAAAGGCCACTGGTTGTGATTTGTCTCACTAGAAGCCATATATGGCAGACATTTCAGCTGAAGTGCATAGCCATAATACCCTTCCACTCTATCAGACAGTGCAGGAAGTATTAGATGCTCCCAAGGGAATCCCAGGAGTGCCCATTACCATCACCTGCTCATGCCTAGTAAATCTGTGTGAGGCCAATTTGTCAACTGTAACCTCTGTGAGGTCAAAAGGCATATAAATGACTACTCCAATTAGAAATTAATTTTTTTTTTTGACAAAACAAAGACAACTTCCCTCACTCACTACCAAGCCCAACCTCCAACTGGGAAGTTTGTGTAGAAGGTTTAGTAGTGTAAAATTTAGATTCTATACTGAGTTCTTGTGTCAACAAAACTCACTTTCCTACCAGTTTTCTTCCTAAAGATAGAATGGGCCAGAATTCATACCAGCTCTGCTGGGCAGTGCACACAAGGGATTCTGTCTGAACAGGTGTCCCTTAATCCAGCCCTTTAATTAGCATGGAGACACATCAAACCCACACCTGTTAATTGCTACATGATCCTGCTGTACGTGATGACACCCAGCACTGGATGTGACCATAACTAAGTGCAGGTCACGTACTCAACTCCTTCTCTTTAATTATCATTGTGGCCCTCACAGACTTTATATAACTATATTATAAAACACAGTAAATAGAAATACCACAATCAACATCTTTCTAGTACAACACTGAAAGCAGAAAGGCTGAATCCACCACAGTACACTGCTTTACTTGAAGTGGAAAAAACATAAAAACCACTGCATGTAAGCCCCTCATTTCCTGCAGAGCCTTGGTGCACACAGGGAATTCAAGAGCACAGTCACAGATACTCAGTTTAGCTACATGCAGCACAGTAACTGCAGCGGAGCATTTGCACAAGGCTGCCATTGCTGATTTCAAGTGTTAGCAGTGCTAGAGTTACACGTTGCGAAGGCGTGTAGCAGGATGCTTCCCAGCCAACTGTTGGAAAATCTGAAATCCGCTGAATGCCAGACAAAGACAAAATGCCAATGTGCACAGTCAGTGCTGTGCTACTGAGGATGCCAAAAATTGATTCTTATTTGTTTAAAAGGAACACAAACTATTGGAATTACATAGTGTTTTCCTGTGATTAGTGCTGTAAACACTGTATTGCTAGCAAAGTCTTTTTTGATGGTACAAAGACTTTGTAATTTCTCATTTTTCAACATTTATCCACAACTAGGGCAGGGGAGAAAACAGTCTTAATTTTGCCTGCCGCTCTTTTTGACTTGATTTTTGTTCTGGTGGGATTAAAAGTTGGTGTACTGAACAGTGTTTAATAGGATAGAGTAAGGTGGGTAGGAGAACTGGGGGATGAATGGTTGTTTTATAATAGGCTTTTCTCTTGAGGTTTCTTTAGGAGCTAAAAAAAAAAAAAAATTAGGGTTAATAGCATCTTTGCAAGAATCTCAGGTTCTGTTCAGGAGTCTGGAAATGTCGGAAAAGTCTCTCAGTTGACTGCCTTGCTGAGACCCCTCCAATCTGTGCTCCCACATGCATCCTAGCAGGACTCAAGTTCTGATTTGGCTCAGACTTGTGTCTGTTGTAGCAAAGAAGTAATTTGTTTGCAGTTGAACTGTGGTGTGGCATCTGCATTTTGATTTTCCTTTTAGATACTGTTTATATTACAAGACTAGATAAACACACTGGGTACCAAGGCTTACTGTGTTAGCCAGTGCACAAACACAGAAACAGCCTGATAAACCTGAGACCTTTGGCTAGAGAGAGAAAACCAAACAAATGCTGGGTTTTTTTCCCTTCTGACTCCATAGCTCCCCATTGCTGTAGCAGAGGAAGGAACTGCAGATTGGAGACAGTGATTGCACAGTCACTTAAAGTGCAGCTAAGAAAAAGCTTAAAATAATCTTAAGTTATTTGTCATCAAGTCTACTTCCAATCATTGCAGTTATTTCAGTAATCTTATAGCTACAAGCATTTTTAGTAAAACCTTTCATTGTACAGAATTAAAGTAGTATATGCTTTATTTCCTTCAGGAAAAGCTTGCATGGACTAGTGGTCGCTCAGAGTTTTTCTTTAGGCTTTGATTTTTCTCATGCTGTGCTTTCACTGAATTGTGCAAGCAGGGTAGGTGTTCCTGTAACAGGGGACACAAATGTCTCCCATTTTTCAAATGAATCATGCAACTCAGTGCACAAGAAAAATAAAAATAAAATCTGTACTTTTCAGTAACATAGCATTTAATTTGCCAGTAATCACATGGTAATTACGTGTATATGTTTCTTTGTAAAAAGTTATCAGTCCACAGCTTCATATCTTATCATCATGTCATCTAATGATACACTAATGGTTTATTCATATACATAAAAAACTAGGGCAAAGATGGAACAGTAAGGGCGCAGATCACTGCTAAATAAATATACATCAGTATAGCAGGTGCTGTACAGTTCTGTCAGTTATTTTGACCCTGACCACAGCACATTTAGCACTAGAAAACTGCCAAGTTTTCTGTTCAGTGATTTTCTTATAAGATGACTTTTGTATTTTCACAGGAAATGGCAAGACCTGTTCCTGTGTTGTCATCTTCAGAGTATGGGAAACGTGTAAACAAGCCCTTAGAGCAGCCAACCAAAGAACATGCAAGGGCTAATCACCTCCATGCAGCAATATACGGGGAAAAGCGCAGCACCCGCTAATTGGAAAAATCTCCAAGACTGGATCCATGTTAAATCTCTTGTATCTGTCATTGCTAGCAACATTTATGTAGGGGAAAGAAAAAAAAAACACAACAAAAAACAATATGGTGCTTTTGCCTTTTCCTCTACATTTTAGTTAATGAAAATGATCTGAGTTAAAAATAGGATGAAAGAGCAGCTGTAATTCTCCTCAAGCTAATTAAAATGCATGTCGTCTCCTTACATTCTCATAAAAACCTCATGAAGAGCAGCACCAACAAGAGCTGAATATTTTAGGCAGTAAAACTGCAACTGAGACCTGTTGGGTCAAAAGCTGGTTCTGCAATTCTAGGCACTGCTTCTACATAACTATTCACAGACTTAACATTTAAGCAAGCTTGTTCCTCAAGGTATCAGTGGTGACAAACTTCTTGCGATGTTGCTACAGAATCATGAGGCATCATTTCATCTGCACAACAACTGAAACGAAGATAAAGCTCAGAATTTTCTAAAATGGATGGGCTTACCCATAAATGGGCAAATAAAGAAATGATCTGACTTCCAGAAGTGCTTAGCAGTTCCAGCAGACTTCAAGTGGAAGTCAAGTTAAAAGGAACTTCTGAGCGCTTACCATCTGAATAGACAAAATATGGGTTTAGCTGATTTCAAACATTCATTTCACTGACTTTCACTATAGAAACTGATCAATCAGTCTGACAGATTGATCTGACAAGAAAAAACATCATTAGCTCTGTATCCAATGCTGAAAAAAAAAGAAAAAAAAGTAATACTAGTAGAACAAGCACTAAATAGAGCAAATGCCTAAACCTGCTTAAATATTTACCACCTTGTATTCTCACTGAATCCAGTACCAAAATTTTAGGGTAATTTCAGGAGGAGTTTCTCCTGCAGGGTATGCATCAGTTTGGTTCTCAAGAGCCATTGATCCTGCTGTTGTTTAAAGCTGAGGCATATTGTTCAGAAAGGAACAACAGCCAGGCTGATTATGCCAAAATAAGGACTGGAAGTCCACAGCTTTGATTGACACTAGTTTTGTCAGTCACACACAGGAAACCTATGTCATTTTTGAACACAGCAAGACTCCTAGTGAAAAAACAACAGAAACAAAAAACTTCCTAATGTGGGGCATGATAAGTAATAAATCAGGCAGTCAATAGCACTTGTTTGGCATGGTGTGAGAAGCAGAGCACATAGAGCAGCTCATTTGGAGAGGTGTTTGTGACTTTCATTATTCATTAACTGCAAGTTCCTCTATACTCAATGGGCTAGGGAAAAGAGGACATTAACTGCTATATTCAACAATAAATATTTCACTAAACAAGTCCAGCAGCATTAAATGAAAGGAATCGCAGTAAGAACAGTCAGAAGGAAATATTTTCTAATACTAGAATGTTTTTTTTTCAAAAATCAGTATCAAATGCATACCAGTAAAGAATGAGATGGAATATGGCCATATTCTTGGCAGGTTATTTTTAGTTTGGGACAGTGAGTACAAATTACTTCTTATAAGTAGCCTTACTATATTTACATACCATCTGTGTTTGAAAAACTATTGGAAATCAAATTTCTTTGAGAACACCACCACCTTCTGGCCTGTGTGATAAATAGGCACCACCACTTCACCCACCACAGAGAAAATCGAGTCATCAAAAAACACCTGAGTTATCCCATCTCATTTCTTTGCTTACATCACCCTCTTCTCATCCTTCCTCACTTTTGAAGGCCTTTCAGGGGTTGTTCCTCTGACTACTTGTTTCTCATTCAGTTCTGAGTGGTTGACTTCTCCCTTCAGTGCTCACTGTAAAAAGAATACCTTGACAAATTCCTCTCTATTACAGATAAGTTCCTTATAAATATCTGAAAAAACATTTCCTCTATTTTCTTTCAATTTCTCTCTTGCTAGGATGACAAACTGTTAGATTACTGATGTTCTGAGCTTATTGTTACACTATTGGAAAACATTTCATTACCTCTTGGTGCTCCCTCACCTGTCAGCATTGATATCCTACCGTAAGGGTTTTATACATGCAACAAATTATCATGAACAGAATGCACAGCATGACACAATGGAAATCGCATTCTGGATCTTGATTTTGCATCTGATAATCTCCAGGGGTTGTTGGGACAATTCACACATGCAACTCACAAATTATTCACTGTAGCCTCAGAAGGAAAAAAGGCCATACTCTGTTATCTATTGGTAAAATACAGAATATCAATGATTTAAACTTTTGCCTTTATTGTATCAAAACATAACAGCTAAAAATCAAACTAGGTGATGCTGGGAATTCTGCTTTGAAACTCATAAATAATAAGCTAACCTGAAAACATGGTTTATGTGACAGTTCATCAAGACAGTTGATCATTATCTGATCAAAACTAAAGCTGTGTTGTTTTCCCTTCATCCATCTGCAAAGCGACACATTAACCCAAGTTGGGGCACACTTGTTCCGGATGAAGTGGGTACTGGTTCTGGTTTCTCAGTTCCAGTATTTCTACTCATACATAAAAAAGGACTGCCATAGGACATAGTTCTGAGATTCTGAGTGTAGAGTTTCTGTAAACTGAAGGAACTTTGGAGGGCATATGTGACTCTATTTAGACAGTTTAGCTACAACTGCCACCAAAGACACAACTACAAATGGAATATATCCAGAACATTGGGGACCTCCACAGAGACAGTTGTGCAAGTCCATTATCCTGTGGCAGCTGTTACTTTACAAAGTAAAGCAAATCTTTTTTTATTAAAAGTGCTCTCATTTTCTGTACGGCATTGCTACTTATTGAACAGCATTCTACATCTGTTAAGAGCAATAAGCCAATACTGCTTCTGCAACTACTGCAAATTTTAGCTTTATGAAAGACTTGGGAAATTACACAAGCTATAAGTAAACTGCACAATGTCTTGTACTGTGAAGAGAGCCCCAATTAGTAGGTAGCATGGCATATTCTTTACATTCAGACTGGCTGTTATCCTTGAATGGTCACGTGTCTGTTTGCAGCTGTGAATCAGAATGAGTGAAATACAAGGGAAAAGCAGCAATGACTGTCTGGCACTCACATCTGTCAACATATAATAAATACTCACACAAAACTTAAAAAAATATGATGCTCTTTATTACTCTTTACATGTCAATTGTTCCAAATATTGGAAGGTTTCAAGTCCAGAAGCTGAAAATATCTGAGATGCAGTTATTTAGGAAACACCAGTTTTCTTCCAAGCACAGTATTTACACTCTGTAGTACAGGAGGTCAACTTCTGATTTAGTGGCATTCTCCAGTGTCAGTTTCTGAGTCCGTACGTATGAGGAAAGATTTTTTTGTGTAGATATTCTGCCATTTTCCTGCAGTTTTCTAGACTTTCTATCTCAAAAAATGGAATCTGGAAACAAAACAAAAATGATTGCTGGAAATACCTTTTAACAAACAACTGAACACAGATGTTCATTAAGCAGATGAAAAATTACACATCCAAGATTTTTCTGCTTTAAAAGGAAACATTTAATCTTATGCGTATGTAGATCTGTAAATCACCTGAAAAAAGATTATTGTAAAACAAAGAGTGATATCCATAAACTAAGTTAAATATTATGAAGTTAGCCCTATGTAATAAGTGATTATAAATGGAAAATAAAATCTTGACAAAGTAAAAGTATATTTAAGGTAAAAATACCCCTATTTAATTCAACAGGTAAAATAAAGATACACTTGCTGTGAACATTTTATTTACAATACAAATCAGTTTGTTTTTTTTTTTAATTTCTCTTTTTAAAGTCCAAATTCAAACCTTTTAAACAAGAATTTAATTAAAAATACGAATTTAACAGAACTCTTACACAAGATTTGCCTGTAAGTCAAGAACTTGAATTAATCACTGCAGAGGTGTAATCTTTCAAGCAGCCACTATCTGGCAGAAAACACAGACAGAATACACTAACTGATCCAAGGAACAAAATGGATTTCCTGTATGCCCTCAAAGAGACAAAAGCTAGGCAGAGAGAACATAATATAGCAAGGACAAAACTACATCTGCCTTAGAAATTACTTTAAACTAGTTTTAAGCATTGTAAAATAATTTTTTACATGTTTATATAGCCAGAGCAAAAGCAAATTACTGTCTTTGGACTTTACCTGCACAACTTCATAACCAAGTAACTGAAGATGTCTCTGTTTAATAGCTTCTTCTCCCAACAGATTGTGGCTATTAGCACAAAATCTATTTTGACCATCAACACAGAGGGCAATTCTAAAATCAAGCATAAGTTTAGTATGAAAGAAAACCCCCCAACAATCAGTTATTTAATCACAAATACTGCAGTTCCTAAGAAGCATGAAACAATACCTCCCTTCTTACTTCGTTATACCACCTTGAATCAGATTTTGCAGGATAGAAGTTCAGGACAATTTAAATCACTCAATTTAAGGGTGGGAGGCAAAAGCCTGAAGCTTAGTGAAACTGATCTGAAAAGCTTTTTTTTACTCTGAACAAAAATTACCATACAAGTTAATAAGAGTTTGATATTTTTAATACTAATAAGCTGGTTTGAATTCTTTTAGAAGGAAAAACACACAAAAAACATGCCTCAGCTTGAAAGCATTTCAGCAGCTAAATTTATTTAACTTACTAGTTTACCTGTTAAATCTATTACAGTTCAAATCAAAGTTAAGTTTAAGCTAAATCTGTTTAAGTTAAACCTGCACATATGATTGGCAGTATCATGGATTATAACTAAATTTCCTCTCCTTTGTTTCTATAGCTACTGTTAAAGAGTTGCTTAATTTTTAGTATGTTAAGAACATTGTGACCTTATTTACAGATGAAAACTGTTATGTAAAAAAAACCAGTAAAACCCATTCTTAAGCATTTAAGCATGGGATTTTTGAAAAAAATCTTTATTAGTCTCTGAGTCTTGTGAAGGTTAAGCTGGAGAAAGCATAACCTTTTCAAAGTATTTTGCTTTATTCACAGAAGGGCTGTTGCAAATACCACACAGGCAGGTTGCTTAAGCTTATCTAAGGTTTCTCAAAATAACCCTTGTTTAACATATTTTTTAAACTCCTATGCATTTGTCAATTAAAACCTCCAGCATCTGTAGCACATATCCTCATTATGCAGGATTCCTTACAGAAGTAAATTTGTGAACTAGCTTAAACTGTTAAATCTATGCAAATAAACTTGATTAGAATTTACTTTTAATTTGAAAATGAATTACAGAAGATCTAAATACATTAATAGAAGCCAAATCAGGATCTCTTGACTGTCAATGGTTAAAGAGACTAATTGGCTGACATCACCTAGTCAGGTGGCAAAACAATAAGCAAAATGCACAGATTGTTAATTTTGTCCTTTTGTCAGTGGTTTTAGTGTGAAACCTTAACTTAGCTGAAGTCAATGAAAAAACTCCAAATAAATTTTGCCAGTGTTTCACCATGGATGCTCTTTGTCATTGTTAACCAACATTTTACCAATGGTTTATTTTATTCTCTTACCGTTTGTGTACCTCTTCACATTGGGCTACAGGCAATACAAAACCTTCCTCATCTAATTTAATTTCGATATCTAGTACAAATGAAAAAACAAGTGACATTAAAGCTCATTCCTATAATGAACTGTTTACTCTAATTCTCATTCTGAGTTCATTGTTTTATAAAATAACTAAAACATAATTCTTTTTTTTTCTGAATCACAGAGGCTTGCAAAAGATTTGTACAGACTTAAAACAAATAAATGATGAATAGTAACACTTCAGCCTTTCCTAATGCTAATCAGCAAATTAGTATTCCAAGTCCACCAAAAACCGTAATGTAGTCAAATGGCACCTTACTGGTGTGGCTAGGGCCTCTGGAATTTGAGGGCTTTGTGAAGAGTTTCTCTCTCTGCCCCCATCCTTTGTTTTTCTCATTAATTCCCTAATTTTCTAGATTATGTCAATTTGCAAACATGAGTTTTGGACCTAAACCCTGCCAACTTCAACACTCATGTGGAAGCTGAAGGCAGAAAATTTCTGGAATCATCCTTCTCTTTTATTCTTTTTTTTTAAAGCCCTCCGACACCCATGGTATCCAAGAGGCCCTTCCCTCAACACCGTATTATCACCCATCCCTCCCAGGCACTGCCTCATTTTGCTTTACATTACACAAATTGTTTGAAGGATAAGGAGCTAATAGTAAAAATACAGAATACAAGAGTTAGCAGCTATTTTCAGTACACACGGGCTGCACGAATTCCAAGAAATGCTGTAGTTCGTTTCTCCTCCTTTTCTTCTTTCTGACTATAAAAATGGATTTACTTGAAGTTCCCCATTTCAGACCTTCTACAGAGTTTTGTATTCTAGTTTACTTTTTCTGAATTTGCAAAATTTAGAACTCTTACAAAGGGAATTAAAGTTTTGGCAGCATAAACTCACATTTAATTATTAATCTAAAGAAATGTTACTTACCAACTGCATAGAAATATGGTGTTGATACCTCTGATGCAAAATATATTCTTTTTTTTAGTAAATAAAGTAATCCAGTCTTCACCCTTTTAAGGAGGTGAACATCACAAGAACTGTGAGGTGTGGGAAAGGCCTTTACTTGATACTTTGGATGGAGTTTCGGACCCTACATAAGGACAGAACACCAAATCAAACAAAAGAAAAAGGAGATAACATTTCTGTAATTAACTCATTAATGTAGCAAATTGTGTTCTGTGCATTTCAAAGCCAAGTCTGTTGAAAGACCTACAGTCTGAGGTATGATCTGCTGGAATCCCCCAACCAACCACCAGAACATCCTCACCAAGCTTCCATGCTGTCATGCTGAATACACTCATGAGAAATGCACAACTGTTTCCATTCCTCTCCAGTCAGGCTAAGATCAAAGTGTGCCTGATCTCTTTTTGGGCTTCACAACTTCACAAGCCAAACACAGAAACCAAATAGTTGTTGGAAAAGTATTTGGAAATACAAAAAAAGTACTTTAATAACTTAAGAGTTAAGTCAGTTCTGTCAAGCACACAAATATATCAAGTCAATCAATCAGATAGAAATGTTTCATCACTTCTGGTTTCACGTGTACTGTACCTCATAAAATGGGCACTCCAGGGTGACAGTCAGAAAAAGCTGGGTTAGCTGGGAGGTAACAACTCTGTTCAAACCAGGTGGCTGAGCTGAAACAACAATATTCAGGCTTTCAGGGGTACCTTCAACAACGTATCGTTACACAAGCCACCATGCAGAAGTCAGGAAAAGCTATTCAGTTTAATGTGCAGAGAAGCTACTTGATCATTACAGTTCTTGGTAATGGTTTGAATGAACAGAAAGATCAGTGTGAAATGACAAGAGTTAGAAAAATGAGGGAATTATTTACAGGAATATTAACTTAAAAAAATATACAACTAGCAAGACCTTAGTTAAAACTGTCATAGTCTTTCACCAAAAAAAATGAGGACCTGAGACATACAGGACATTCTACAGAGAATAAGTCTGAGTTGAGGGCTTGGATAAATATCCCCTTCCAATAACCCCTTCTCCCCAAGTTATAATACCAGAATTTCATTGGTTCACCTTTTTTTTTGTTTTTTTTTTTTTAATCTGCTAGTGGATAATATCAAATAATTTCTGGAGATTTGTCTGTGTTATAAAAATCAACCCCTTAAGGTATTTTATATTAACAAAAAAATTAAGTAACCAAAATTTCTAATCACCTTGAAAACTTGACCCTGATTTTATTAACAGAGGAATCTTAACTGAGATCTTAAGAAGTCACTCACCATTCTAGCATAGCTTACATCTCTCTATAATGACACTAAAAATGCTTTACTATCTAACAGAGAATTCCTTAAAATGTTGTGTTGTTCATAATAGGTTTGTGTCCAAAAGTATTGGAATTTGCAATAATTAGAGTCAAGGACAGGCTATCACGTGGGAGATGTTCTAGCCTGTATGAGACAAATGACTAACATGGGGAAAACCAGGTCACTATTTTCTAGAAAAACTGAAGGATTAACTGAAATTTTTAAAAGGAATTCAAGTCACTGTTTAAGATTGTACAGTCAAATTTTTAAACTTGTCTAAATGATATAACATGAAAGACAACTGCAACTGTGACTCTTTAGCCTCCTTATCACTATTCTCTTAAATCACCTAAAGTCACATCACAGAAAATTCTGAGTTGGAAGGGACCCACAAGGATCGTCAGGTCATTGCTGATTTGACAGAGAGTGATAAAAAATGTGTGCTTGACAAGAGACAAACCACATAGTAGAAAGAAATGTGGAACATCCTTAGAGAAACACTGCTCCTTACCTTGAAGCTTTTGCAGAAAATAGGGACTAAATATTTTTGGCAGAAAATTTAGTGGATAACGTTGAATAAGGACACATGAGTGTAGTAGGTTCAGCAAGGTGTGAGGCTGAAAGTGACTAAGCCGAGTGTGCAGTACAGTTTCAAGCTTCCTAAACAAGGAAGAAGCACTTGGAGGCAGATAGTTAAGAGTCCCAAATGGTATAATATACCCAGCAATCTGGTCGGTGGTGAGTCTGTCAGCATTGGAAATGAAACTTTCTGCCACTGCATCAAAGATGGGCTTTGAAAGGATCACCTTTTTGCAGCAATACTGCATGACTTTGCAGACTGTTTGAGGATGCATGGTAAGGATGGATTTAGGGACATGCGTTTCCAGTGCCTCTGTAAAACTTTGTTCACGATGTCCAAAGTATAGGAAGGCATCCAGGACGTTTACCAGTTCACAGTCCGTGAAATACGGAACATGCTCAGCAGAATGTTTACACAGTGCAGTAACTAAGGCAACTGCCTGAGTCTGACAAAGAACCACCAGTGAATTCAGTACTACACTTGCAAAGTTTGGGCTTAGCTGGGAAACTGCAGGTAAAGTGACACTGTTCAGTCTGTTCAGCAAGTTTTGGTATTGCTTCCTTTCCCTGGCAGTCACCTGTAGTATTCTATAAACCATCGCTATTTCCCTTGGAGTCCATTTCTCAATGTCTTTTTCTTGCATGTGGTTCACAATTTCTTCCAGCATCGCACAGTTTGGGCTTTCCAACTCAAGCAAACTGTCTCCAAGAGCACACAGATTTTCAACAGTCAACTGTCCCTTACCAAGCCTCTCCTCGCTCTCTGAAAGCAAGCTTGCCATCAGCGTGCTCTGCGGATCTATTTGTAGTGTTACCAAAGCCTGCAATGCGTTCAGCAGCCCACTGCTTGACAGTTTCGAAGATTCAAATTCCAATTGCAAGCATAACGCCCTGAAAACTTCATTCTCTAACACTCCAGGGTTTTTCACACCACTGTCATCCACTTCAAGTTCAGAAATCCTTTGCAGGGCTCCTGAGGCCATAGTATCAGACATGACTTCTAGAGAGCTAAGAAAGTCAAAAATCTCTTCTGATGTACAAAGGTTGTTCAACTTCTTGAAAAATAATTGTTCATCCATCCACACGTTATTAGACTTAGTACAGTTCTCAGTTTCTCCACAAAGACGCACAGTTTCGTAAAGTGACTGCAGCCGCAGTTGTACGTGGTTTTTTCTACAAAACATATACTGAGATTTATCTTTGATATATAGCATCCTCATGGCTACAGAGCTACAGTACTGGGGCTTTTGCTGCCCCCTGAGGAAGCTCAGCCTCTTGCTTAGGGTCATCAAAACAGACCTGCTTGCTGGTGTGCTGGATGAATAAAACTGGAAACTTTTTCGGCTAATCAAAGCCATATTGAATCAAATGGGTTCTGAAATAACACCTAGAGGAAGAAAAATACATGTAAATATATCGTTTGGGAAACAGCACTAGTGTCACTAAAATTCAGCAAAAAAGGGAAAAAAAAAAGTACGCTTTGGACGGCTGGAGAGGACTGGGACAATCCCTCTGCCATAACCACCAGCGCAAGGCAATGCAAAGAAAACAAACTGCCGGGAGCGGCGAGACCTGCGTGACAGGCTGCAGCGCATCTCTGGCCCTTGTTTCCCTAAGGACACTTCGGGAGAGGAGCGGGATACAGACAGGGACGTTTCCCCGAGCAGGAACTGTGGGGCGGCGCTTTGCCCTCCACCCCTGAAGGCCGGGGCGCTGTGGGGGTCTGACACGGGCGGGGCGGCACCGGCGGGGCTCCTCCATCGGGTTTCTCCATCCCTCTCCGCCTCACAGTCCCAGCGTCCCTCCCTCCCGCCCCAGCGCCTACTGCTGCTGCTGTCGCTGCTGGTACTGCGAAAGAAAGGGGCCGCGGTCCCTCCGTCCCGGGGCACACGGCAGCGCCCGGAGCGCCGCTGCAGCCTCACCTCCGCCGCCATGGCGGCCAGCGCGGGGCCTGCCGGGATTTTCCGGCGCTCTCCTGGCGGCACCTCCGGGCGCCGGCAGCAGCTCCCGCCCCCTGCCCGCCGCGGGGCGCTCAGCCCGCCCCGGATCAGCCCGCCCCGCCCCGCCCCGCTCGTCCGGGGCGCGCCCTTGGTGCTGCTGCACCCGGCGCCGCCAGGACGGGAGCGGAGCGCAGGCTGGCACTTTGCCTCGGGAGTGGGATTTGCGGATCGCGTCCTCCAGCGCAAGTACTCCCGCATCCCTCTGCGGGGGATAGCGGGAGCCGGGCGGGGCAGGTGCGCGGCGGGGCTTCTGTCTGTCTTGGCGGTAGAGTGCAAGTGGTTCTGAGCAAGTCACCAGCTGTTGAAAAGGGGGCTTGGGAGTGGCGTTTACGTTTCTGAAGGCACGGTCCCACAACCCGGTTCAAAGCCACCCTTTGAGAGAACTTAAAACCCTTGCACTGAAGTTTCTTGCGTTTTTATCCGGTCCGTGGCCACTCAGTTGGACGTATTTGGCAGTGCGTGGTCTGGCCTTGCAGTGCAGCCGCGTAATTGCCGGGGCCAGCACGTGTCGTGCAGTGGCATTCACGGAGGGCTTGCTCTGTTATTGACTGACGGGGCTGATGGACTCCCTGCCGATCTTCTGTGGACTCCTAGCTTTTTTGACTTTTCCGAATACTGGATCAGATGAGCTATAATTTGGAATTTCATCCTTAGTTTCATGTTAAGCCCTGCTTTGGTCCAGCAAATCCCAGGTTGTTTTCCCGGCTTAAACATTGTTTTTACATGTGCAGCTACCAACACAACAACATGTTAAAGGCTGCTGGTGTGGTAATACTGTTAGAGGGATTCTCTAGAAAGCTCAGTAGTAAAGAATTACCCGTTTTCCCCTTCTTCATTCCAGTTGAGCTTGCAGCGCACATGTGGGAATGGCATATCATCTTTGAAGAGTTTATAGTGCAGCAAAGAGCAGTGTGGGCAGCATGTTTATCTGAGAACAAGCGTGTTGCTGGTTTATGATTGTTCATCTGCAGGTAGGCATGACTGATTTTTCTTTCTTTGAGCAGACACCATTTGATCAGTTTGTGCATGGGGCTCTTTCGGTTGTTGACAGAAGACATGTTTGCATCACGATCGAATGAGTTTATTGGTCTGTTGATGACATAATTAACTGTTAGGGAGTTAACTGTTTAATCAGTTGATTGAATTACATACTCAAGATCAATAGCAACAATGCTACAGATAGGATACCAGGCACTTAAAAATGTTAATAAATGCCTGCAAATATTTAAACAGCATTCTATATCTAATTCTAAGGAATTGTCTAATTGTGAATTGTGACCTCTACCATTTCCACAAAGATGCATTCACACTGTTACATACGCACACAGTACCCTCTTTCAGGATGCATATGCATCTCCAGCATCGTCCCCTCTTCTGGCTGCATGGATTCACTTGTTTCCACATGCTTTCTGAAGGAAGTGCAGTTGCTCCAATTTTGCTATACAGTCTACTAGTCCACAGTGAAAAAAACTCTCCCCAAGTTCACATATATTCACCAACAATGGGTATGGCTACTTTTTGTACCCTTTATTGTTGCTGTGTGTGGAGTGGAACGAGCTTACAATGTCTTATGGAGACCGCAGCTGCTGTGCCTGACCTGGGCAGAGATCATGGCACTGTTAGGGCAATCTATCTGACCATGTCAGACCACATTGTGACCAGTGTTCTTTCTATTGCCCTCTCCTTCCCCTCTACTAAAACTTTTGTGCTGCTCAAGCATATACGTCTTCCCAAACTGACTCTGGTTTGAAGTCTGTTGGTAATCCCTTGCTTATAATGTTGGCAGCTTACTCCTCAGCTTTCTGTGTATAGAAGGCTTCTGTGCTATGGTGTGGTCCCAGTGGAAAATTGATTGTCTTTCTCCCTTTTTGAGGTATGAGAAAGAATGTAGTAGTGAAATGCTGCTTCATATTTATTGTGTTTATCTATTTATAGTCCGGCGATGCCACCTGCTGACAACAGAATTAGGGGAAAACAGCATATGACTAGGGTGAATCTGCATTACAGTAGGGATCTGAGGGTATTTAAACTGTATTTACACTATTTTATATGAATCTTCGTAGTTAGCATGTCAGCACATTTCTTTGTATTTCTTCCGGAAAAAGAGGGTGAAGAATCATTCTGTGTATTGTTTTGTTGTATGCATCTTCTGTGCACATGCACATGAAGCCGTTAATGTAAACAAATTTATTTAAAGTGATTGTTAAGGTAGTCGTTAATATTTTTAGGTGATATATGTAATCAGTTTAAGGTGAAAAATATAAATGCAAATGTAGTAGAAGAAAATACAATGAGAATCTCAACATTTTCTAGTAAATACACTTTTCATGGAATTCATGTGTGTTACAGGCTCTTAAAAACCTGTCACTTAGTTTTGCTGCTTCTGATGTATAATTATGCTTTAAAAAAAAATTCCCATAGGAAGAAACCTTCCACAGTACTGTGGGGAGAAATATCTTGCCGTATCAGTGGAGTACAATATTAAGTAAATGACCCATATAGCGATCGAACCCATGACCTTGCTGTTATTAGCACCATGCTCTAACCACCTGAGCTAATCGCACGGTCAAGTTACACTTGTGTAAAAACTCCTTTTTCAAATACGAAATTAAGATTAACGTTTATGCTCCAAAGAACAGACATAGTGGACAGTGAAGTGTAAAGTCATTTGGGAAAAAAATACTGATTTCAGAAAAGAAGAAGCTGAGAATTTTGGGTTTTTTTCCTCAGGCTTTGTAGTTTGACTTCACCAGGTCTATGTTATATTTTGTTTTGTTTTCAAATACATCTTAGAAAAGTGAACAAAGCAGTCATTGACTTGGAATGGAAAATATAACTTACATAATAAAAGTAATATATATTTTCATAAAAATAGTTTTTGTATTGTATTGCTTACAAACTAGATTCTTGATATTGGGGATATTGGGGATATTACAATATTATTGCAACATCAAGGCATTACAGCACACAGGACCAGTACTTCAAAACCTGGTCTAAAAGGCTTGGTTGTGAGAAATGGCTTCTCTTCAGAGTAGATGCCTCATTTTCAAGTCAAACACCAATACTGCTATCACTAAAGTATCTCTTTTGAATCTCATAAGCAAAGTAAAATCTTGCTGTCCTGCGTACAATAAATTCACTTTTTCTAATTCTTTTTTCCCCTGCAGTGTCTCTAGAAAAAAATTAAAATCCTGTGTTTTGGGAAATGTGCTGTAATTCAAAAAGGAGGTTTTTGCTCCTCTATGCAACACAAAAGGGGCAGGCAAAAGCCATAGCTGAGGAAATATGGCAGCAAGCAGGTGCCCATGGACTTGAAGCTGATATGCACTGTATAAGTGAAATGGATAAGGTGAGATACTCCACGCTGTTTTGAAAAATAAGTATTTAAGAACTGCATTTTTCTTCATGTGCTTGAGTGGTGGCCCTTTGTAATCAAAAGGCTAGCTGATGCACCCACCTAAAATATACCATTGAATTTTAATTTTTTTTCCTTGTGAATCAGTAATTTGGACCAATACTCACAGTCTCTTAATAGCCTTTTGCCCAAGACACATTTCTTCTGATTTTTCTTATTAGAACTCTAAATCTTTATCTCTCTTCTAACAATAATTCAGTGATTTCTTGAAAACTATTTCTGTATGCAATAGGGTAAGGTCTTCTGTTGTTAGAAATTACATGCTTCCCTACCCCCTGTCCCCCCTTGTTGTGTCTCTTTGGTTGCATTGATGTTCTGTGTTCTGTTAACTGTGGGCTCCAGCATGGCCTGGAGCTTTTGTGGGGTCTTCTTGTGTTGCTTGTGTATGCACTTCAATTCCCATGGGATTCACTCAAGCTGTATTCTAGAAAGAAGTAAAAAGCTTGTCTGGAGCAAGAAAGTGGCTTTTTGTTACTTGCTGTTATCCAAGAATAAGAATATGAAAACTGTTAGTGTCTAACTAAAAGCAATATGAAGCGTAATTTCCTTCACAAAGTACTTTTGACTGTATGTCCTCAAACAGAACCATATAAAACCCATAAAAAACAATCAAAACTTGATAACCTGATATTTCGTATGGGACGAGAAGAAAATAACACCTAAAAGATATTTTTTCACGCACTTGAAAATGTGAGATATTTTGAATGAATGTTCCCTGAGTATGTAGCTGAACATTACAAAGAGACTTCTATGCAGCCAACCTGGAATGTGAAGATTCTCCTTACACCATTCCATTTAATTTCTTTTGCATTTGACAGGTTTGGAGATTAGTTTTAGGAAGGTGGTAGACAGGATATTTCTGCCTCTTGAATAAATCTATTCTGTCAGATTTGGCAAGACAACTCAGTTGTCTTGCTGCAAGTTCATGATGAGGTAGAAATATGTACTGAATTGAGAATCTGAGAATTAGGCACTGAGGAAAAGAAGTAATTTCTGCAGCTTCGTAGATTTTATCACATAAGCTTCTACTTTTCTCCTGTTTGTCAGTTAGAAGGTCCATCTTTATGTAGCTGTTGGGTATTTTCAGATATTGTCATCACATAAAGGGATTGCTGTGATGGTGTATGGATGGAGTAGGTGACTACAGAGTCAATACTCATAATGCGATCCTCTTGCCATGCAAAAATGGATGGTCAAATACTGTTCAGATCTCAGAAACACTGGCTGTTTCCAAGTAGTTTCTCTCACCTGCAGTCTCATGGGTGAGAAGAGGTCATAAATCTTTGGTTGGTTATGGTGATTACTTTTCATGGAAAACTGAAGTGGGAGTGAGGTAGTAGCAGTAAGAAATGGGAGGCTAAATGGAGATCTTCTTGAGTCACAATGCATGTAGTCAGCCTTGGATGAGTTACCTGAATAACAGGTGCATTTGTCATGATATAGATTATTCTGGATAAGACAAACCTGGGTTTCTGATTCTGTCCTCCTCAGTAATCATTCAGAATACTTGAACATGCATTTTGCTGCTCTTATGTGGCATTGCTGTCCTCAGCTGAGGAGAACTTTTGAAGGAAA